GCTGCGCTGCCTCGATCTGCCTCAAATTAGCTACAAAGCTGCTGCTTCTCCACTGCTACTGGTTATCTTGAAAATACCGTTGCACTCACACACGAGATTGTCCCAAAAAAACTAATTATTCGGCGAAAACAAAGTGCAATACAAATCGGCGGTAAATTCACGTTCACAGCTGAGGCGTAACTGCTTATTCAAAAGATCGCGCGCCCCCTATTTTGTTAGATCGTAGATTATTCCAACAGTGGGTAGTAGATTCTTATGTAAAAATTGAAAAAGACAGAATACAATACTGTAAAGATCATCAAAAAGAAATAAAAGCAGACACATATCAAGGATTACATGATTACTTGCAAAATTCTGCTAATGATATTGTGGGGTTGCAGACTTTTCCAAAATCTACACCGCACATGTTCCTCAACCTTTCTCTCAGTTCTTCTCTGCCGCTGATTTATGATTTAGTTTTTATGGTGTCCGACAAGCGATCAGCTCATTGAGCTCGTAGAGCAGTAAACGACGGCCGAACCTTTTCGGCTGGGCCTTTTTGTTAGCAGGCCCGCGCGCGCGCACGCCCTTTTCCCACCATATTTTCGCTTTTTCTTTTCCCTCTCCGACGAGCAAAAGCAATTAATGTTCTTGGAGAGACCCGCGTAAAAAAATTTTTATTTTTACCAAACGTTCGCCAAACTTACCTTGGTTAAAGTTTGGCAAAACTTTTTTCGTGGGACGATGCCAAGCTTTCAGTTGTTTGCAAAAAGTTTGGCAAAACGTTTCCTAATTTTATTTAAGTTTTGTTGGGAGTTAGGCTGAAGTTTTACCAAACTTCGGACAAATGTAATTAAAACATTTTTTTTTTATTTTCGATTAGACATCTGATTAAAGTTTGGCCGGATTTTAGACAAGTATAATCTTATTTTTGTAAAATAATCTGAAATCTGGATAAAGTTTGGCGGAACTTGTACCAAATAAAATATAAAAATTGAGTTTTATTCAAAAGTGTGATAAAGCTATTGACGTTTGTCACATTACATAATTGATTTCGTCATTTACAAAGTTCATTCTCTTTCGTAATTATTAAGACATTCTACAACATAGGTTCTATGATGAAACTTAATATAAAACAAAATGTCTTTAATGGCATCGAGATTTATGACCAAATATGTGTCGGTTAGTCTCTCGCACTCAAAAATAGTCGGAACAAAATTCATTACTAACGGACAAAGAAATGTTTCTCTTACATTACATTGCGAAATTACGACATACGTTAAACAATTTTCTAAACAGTGTTGGAACGATTGCCAATTGTCGCAATTACAAACATGTATAAAAGAATCGGTGATACCTGCGTTAACTTCATCATTGAATATATATGATACACAAGATGAATTCGTAGCTTTTCTGGCGGCATACGATTCAGACTCATAATAAATGTTATTTATAAGAACTCTTTGAAATACACGGATTTTCGTTATATATGCTATTTCCTATTTCGTTAGATAGGCTATTTCCTAAAATAATATTTATGTTTGCAAAAGCCTCCTGCACGTGCTCTGGCAAATTATTAATCGTTTTACTTATGCCTACAATAAAAGCATTGCCATTCAAATAACTAATTTTATGCCGATGAGTGCTTGATCTATCGACTCTCTTGCAAAAATTATATACAGCACTGTCTGGTGTTATTAATCTAGTTTTTACTTCTGTGAGTGATAAAATAGTTGTCACTGCCGCGTAAACTTGTAATTCTGGTTTCTTCGAACCATAAATATAATTTTTTAATATGCCATTAAAATTTTCAAAACAAAATGTCGACATAACGAAAAGCGGTCCAAATTTCTTAACTTGTTTTGGAAGATGCTCGAGAAGATGTACGTTGCAACTCATGTATCTCGTACCATATAAAAATTGAAATTGAAACACCCATTCGTGTGCAACTTCTTTTACTTCAATGAGCATATCATCACTGATACTTGATAAATTCATCAGAGTGGATTCATGGACAAGCAAAATATAGTGTTCGAAATAATCTTCATGCATTATATCTTGCAAGATTGCCAAACTATCGACTAATAAAAATCTTTTCAATTCGTGTGCCTTCCAAAATGCATAGTCCTTCACACTTCAAGGCAGACGCTGCACAAATGACGGAGGAGTCAACTGTTTGATTCTGTTATCAATAGTATTGATAAACGGTATTAAAGATGCAGGGTGAGTGCTAAATTCCACGTCAAACCAGAATGTCATCAATTTTTTCATCAAACCTTGAAAGCTATTATGCATTTCATCGATTGCTGTAGATTCAATGTAGTTAGGCACTATCAAACGTAGGGCTGTTGATCCCTTGACGCCATGAACAGGAATGCCAATTTCAAGTGCTTGTCGTGCGTATTCTTCTGTTTGTTCAGTCGTTCTCTCTAATTCTTCTATATTCTCAACAATTGGATATGATTGCACATTCTGAATTCGTACCGACTCTATTTCACACGTTTGACATCCGTACGTTGCATTAAACTGCTGCATATTTAGAAAATTAGCTTTAGCTTGTAGATCACACGTACCGCCAATGATTAAACCGCGAATGCAAACTGGATCAGGCTGATTATAGACTTTTATATTTTTACCTCTGAAAAGCTCAGCTAATTCAACTTCTAATACAGGTAGAAATAAATTAGGTGGTAGTTTTTTATTTCCAAACCAGAGGCCCGCGAGAATGCAGTTTTCTTTTTTTATTCTTGCATCGGGAGGAAGCTCGTTCACTACCAAGTAAAACGGCCACAGGCTAAATTTCGAGGAATTAAAAACTTGTACTCCGTCTGCGTTCCACGTGAATGTTAGATTTCTTATATTATTAGTATATTCTGAAGGTAGTTCTTTATAAAGAGAACCGTCATAGATGTCTTCATAATTTTCGTCATTTTCTTTAATGCGCGTGAATCGGTAATTTAACTTTTCAGTAAAATCTGGACGCATAAAAAATGAAGATAGTTGCGATAATATGGAAATTTGTAAAAAATAAGTAATTCTGGTATTTTCACCACAATTAATGCATAAGTTATTTTCTGTAAGTGATAAACAAGTTGCACAATAGAAATATTTTATCAACGGGCACGAAATGTTTGTGAAAACTTTTTTAAGCATGTAAAAGCTCTTAACGCAGTGATTGGGCCGGATGTAGTGTACCTCTATGAGATCAAGGATCGCTGCCATTAGTGCTCCAGTGACATTAAATCTTATCATAAGTGTTAGAATAGATAATATACTCTCAGCTACTGTCAAAGGTGCCCCAGGATATAATATGTCATCACCATTTTCGATGTGAAATTCTTCATTATCACTGCCAGCTGTGTCTGTGTCAGTATAGTCCGTAGAGTCAAGTGACGAATAATCATCAATGTCAGAATAACTGTTCTCAGATCCGCTATTGGCTTGATGGTTTTGTAAAAATCCTATACAATGAAATACATTTTTTTAGAATGCAAAAAATAAAAGTCTATTTAGCCTATTAATTTGAAATTGACGATGAAATTATTATAATTTTTTTTTTTTTTCAATTCAATACTATTTTATAATTTTCTTAATATTCCTTCTATTAATATTATCTTATTATTTTTCACTTATTATGTAACAAATCAATATGAATGTCCACAACTAGATCATCATGGTCGGAAAAAACGTCGTCTAATTGGTTATTGTCATTGCCAATATGATCAATTTGTTGATTATCTCCAATCTCCGAATGATCCGAGTTGTCAGAGTTTTGACTGTTGTTGCCAGTATATTCTAAACTTTCAGAACTCGTTCCGGAATACTCCCATAGATATATCGATTGAAATTAGCATGAGCTCAGACAAAAAAGCTCCGAAAATAAAAGCGTCGGTAATGACTATGCACATAGAGTGTTAGAAAAGTTACTTTTAAATAGAATGGATTTACAGGTTACGATTTCCTGTAAACAAATTGCTTGTCATCAAGAACAAGATGCGCTATTTCATTTATATTCAAACAAAAGTTTAAGGAATACTGTTACATGTGCTAAAGATTTTATTACTATCAAATAAACGCAATCTCTTTTTACACCGGATAAACTATTACATAACACTTACGGTAGTTGTGCTAATGTAAGGTTCACTATCAGAGCTTTCATTACTAATCTCAAAATTGATCTCTCTTCTTCGATTGATGTAACGATACCGCGATGTCCGTGAATAGCTTTCGAATGTTCGGTTTTGATTCATAATAGAATAATTAAAAATGCACCTAGAAAGTTTTCGAATGAAATAAACGTACTAATCGAACAATATTCTACAAAATATTTAGCGGTGCATATTATAAAAAACACATGTTTGTATTTACAGCAGTAGCGCATGAATAATTATCGACTATCGTTGTCTTTCTCAAAATACGTTTGATCTATGATGGTAAGTACTTTTTGCGTGTACTTATATTTTACTCCATAAGTCTTTTAAAAACCAACAAGTTGAATATTTATCCTACAAAAATATAAGAAATATAATATAGGTAAATACTTTAGATTTGATACGATAATTGAGATTTTAATAAGCTTACCTGTACGTTTTATACGTGACTGAAAAAATTAACTTCAAAGTGATGCAATAACAAGGTTATAAGATACATAGAATATTTGTTTGTTAAGCGATAAAAAAATACACATTGTTGATGATTTCACTTTAACAACCGTTGCTAAGTAAACGACATGCATAACCACACATCTCCATGCAATTGACACACGCATTCCAACAACAAGTCTGAAGAAAAATGGTATTTCTATAAAAGCTGAGTGGCATAATTCTTACTATCCTGTAAAAGTACTTCGAATTTCAAGTAAGTGATCTTTTACTATACCGCTTCGTAAGTCTAAAGAATTATTAACATTTTTTCAAATATATATGTTTATTGGATGACAATAATATTATAAAATAAATTAATAACTAATAGACGATATCAACTATTTAAATTCTTTGCGAGTTACGGAAGACGGAATTAGTATGCAGACTGAGAAACAAATAGGCTGCAATAAGTTGGCTGTGCAGTCGATGAAAAAGCAAAACCGATTGGACAATAAGAAGGCAAAAGAAGTTCAGAGAAAAAGAGCTTTTCAAGAAGGGATGGCGGTAATCGATAAATTACCATTATTTCGTCAAAATGATGATAACGATTCTAGCAGCAATGAGTAAGTTACTTTTTATTAATTATTTCATAATCTTTATCATTTGTGTTGATTGTTTGCTTTGTGATACCTGCAGGAGTTCCGTCGACATACTCGTTGGTAGAAAAAGATTGGCTGCTCAGGTACGTCGTGATGATCCTATATCTAGCAAAGACTCTGATGGAGCCGATGCTATAAGTATTAGGAACAGCAGCAATAAAACTTCAGAAAAGCCTTGTATTTGTTCAAAATTGCCAAACTGTGAGTATATCAATAAGTTATATCCGCATAACTTTACGCTGTCTAACAGAGATACGAAAAATTTACAGTAACGTTGGACGATATCAAAAGATTTGAATTGATTTTGAAACTCGCCAAAAGAATAAGCCCTGAAATCGAAAAAGATATTGAGGTTGGCATATTATATCAATGTAAGCTTTTAGTCAACGTGTAACTTATACATTTCTTTTGCAGGTGAATAGTTGTAAAAATGTGTTCAGTACCGAAAAAAAATTGGTGAGTAACACTTGTACTAGCTAGTATTTCAAATAAAAATTAGTAACTAAGTATAATTTACATACTTATTTAGGTATCTATAGTTGATGGCTCTGAATTTAAAATGCCAGAATGGAAACTTGATGTTTACAGGACATCATATAAATGCTTATTGATTTGGTTGGAAAGGATATTCTAAGAGAATCAACAGTAACAGGTAGAAATAATCGAAGACCTATCGATGAAAATCTATACGAAGACGTTGAAAGCAAATCTATTTTAAATAGAAATTATATTTCACCAATAATATATTATATGATGCAATAAATATTGTAATAACAATTTATTTCAGGTTTCGTCAGCATGAATACGGAAGCGCCATTCAAAATCACTCACGATGAATTTCGCACGTGTGTAACAAACTTATGTTCAACTTTAAGAAATCCTAGGTCGAAATATACTAGAGATGGGAGCTCTATTAATGCGAGGAATTCAAGACAGGTAAATATAGAATAATTCATAAATAATATTATTCAGAATATTATATTAGTGGAAATTGATTGACAGAATACGAAAGCTTCACCTAGACGAAGATTAAAACAAAAAATTAACATACGTGATGGGCAAAACAATCAGTCCAATGTTGACAGTAACTCGACAATAAATGGCAATGTTGAAAGCAACGGGATAGAAATGAGCGATGATCAAAATGAAAATGAAAAAAGTATTCTCTCAATTTATAATAAAATACTTGAAAAAACAATATTAAACCTATCTATAAAGCTACTTTTTTATAGGCGAAGAGGAAAATACGGCTAACATTCAAAACAAAAATGAGTATGACATTTCTGCTGATGGAGAAAAAATTGAGGTCTTGAGAAGAGAACTAAATATTAGAGAAGAGAAGCAACATTTCGAAGAAAAGGATTGTATTGATAAGAAACGAGAACTGGTTGAGCAGAGAGAGATAGGAGGAAAAAGACGTAGCGAAGAGAAAACCCTTGAAGTTGTGGAACGAAGACTAGCTGAGCAGAGAGAGACCGAAGAAAAGAGACGTAGAGAAGAGCAAACCCGCCAAGTTGAGGAACGAAGACTGACTGAGGAGAGAGAGGCCGAAGAAAAGAGACGCAAGGAAGAGCAAACCCGCCAAGTTGAGGAACGAAGACTGGCTGAGCAGAGAGAGGCCGAAGAAAAGAGACGCAGGGAAGAGAAAAAACGTCGAGATGAGGAACGAAAAGAGGCTGAGCAAAGATTGGTCGGAAACGAAAAAAAACGTAGTGAGGAAAGGCAACGAATAGATGAGGTGCAAAGACAAGTTCAGACGACAAAACGCGAAAAACATTGTGACGACAAAAAAAATAAATTAGACAAGGAAGAAAAACAATACAGGAAAGAAAAATATGTATTAGATAGAAAAAAGGAAAACAATTATGGAAATAAACGGTCACATGAAGATGAATGGAAGCACATGAAGAGCAATGAAAAGAGAGCCAGTTCACGCGAGAGAAAGAAGCGACGATGGTCGAAAAATTGGGAGGTTTAGAGCGAAAAGAATCGCAGTAGCACAAACGTTATTATGTTAAATACGCGTGTTAACATAAAAATTAAAGTTTTCATTCACAAAATTTAGTTTGATATTTCTTTTTTTATAAGTTCTGCAAAGCTTTAGCCAAGCTTCAGCCAACTTCGTTTGGCATCGTCCCACGAAAAAATTTTGACAAACTTTAACAAACGTAAGTTTGGCGAACGTTTGGTAAAACTAAAACATTGTACTTAATTTTTATATTTTGTTTCGTATAAGTTCGGCCAAACTTTAGCCCAACTCCTAACAAAATTTGAACTTTTAAATTATATTGAAATGAAATGCTTTGCCAAACTTTTTGTAAACAAACTGATCGAATAGAAAAGTTTGGCATCGTCCCACGAAAAAAGTTTTGCCAAACTTTAAAAAAAGTTTTGCCAAACTTTAACTAAGGTAAGATTGGCGAACGTTTGGTAAAAATAAAAATTTTTTTACGCGGGGCGAGAGAGAAGCAAAGCCTGGCTCGGTGGTGCATCCTTGCACCCCCGCGAATGACCAGAACGACACAACGACTCGTCGAGTGAGCATCCCCAACTCATCATCTCGCTACACTCTTCTTGTACACGCGTGCATCACTCGCGATACCTTGTAGTGTTCGTCTGCGCACAGCACACCAACTTCAACTCATTATTATAGTAATATTTATCTATTACTAGTGTGTTACATTTATTTATTTCACCCTACGCACCTAAACATTCACTCATTCTCCTCTCGCCAAACGTCGATCCAAAAATATGAATAGACCAGTAAGAAAAACTGTAATCCTTCCATCAAGTTTTATCGGTTCTCCTCGCCACATGCAACAATGTTATCAAGATGCAATGGCTTTGGTCAATGAAACAGGACAACCAGATATTTTTCTAACAATTACTTGCAATCCTAAATGGACAGAAATTCAAGAAAATCTTTTACTGGACCAAGAAGCATGCGATAGACCTGATATTGTAGCTCGGGTATTTCATTTAAAAAAAAATCGTTTACTTGATGTAGTAATTAAAACAAAAATTTTTTGGAAATTTAGCGTCTTACATTTATGTAATTGAATTTCAAAAACGAGGTCTACCTCACATACATCTGTTAATAACTTTAACGCATTCATATAAAATAAGTACACCTGAAATTGTTGACAAATTTATATCAGCCGAATTGCTTCATAAAGAATATAACCCAATTTTATACAATATTGTCATAAAAATATGGTTCATGGACCTTGCGGTGACTGGTGTAAGGTCAATGATAAATGCTCTAAAAATATCCAAAGCAATTTCATGAAGAAACAATTATGGATGAAAATGGTTATCCTCAATACCAAAGAAGAAATAATGGTGACACTTATCAATTAACTAATGGTGAAATAATTGATAGATTGGTTGTACCACATTGCCCTAAAATATTAGAAATGTTCAATTGTCACACAAATGTAGAAATTGTTACAAGTATTCGATCTGTTAAATATATGTCCAAGTATATTTACAAAGGTCATGATGCAACTACGGTAACGATTGAAGAGGGTAACGCTAATACCAATAACAAAATAATTAACCACGATGAAATTAGTGATTGTATAGAAACCCGCTATATAGGACCAGTTGAATCATGTTATCGAATTTTCAGTAAATCTTTACAAGACAAAAGCCATTCTATTGTTCGATTAACTTTACATCTTCCAAATCAACAATGCATTATTATTAGTAATGACCAACAAGATTTTTCTGAAAATATGAATCGAACGAGTAGTATGTTACTTGATTATTTTAAATTAAATTCACAAGATGAGAATGCTCATCAGTATTTGTATAAGGATATTCCATCTTTCTACATGTATAAAAAAGAAAAAGTCAATGGCATCATGACATCTAGATGGTCAAAATGAAAAAAACATTTTAATTGCATTGGACGTATGTATTCGGTCAGTCCTACACAATTAGAGTCGTTTCATTTACGTTTATTATTACTGCATGAGAAGGGAACTACAAGTTTTATTTCATCAAAAACAGTGAATGCGACAATACATGCTTCTTTTACAGCTGCCTGCTTAACATTAGGATTGATACAAGACGACGAAGAATGGGACAAAGCAATAGAAGAAGCTGTAACATGGATGATGCCTTTTAGATTACGTCAGTTATTTATTCGAATTTTGATATACTGCCAACCTATACATCCTGATGAATTATGGAACAAATACAAAAACGCAATGTCTGAAGATTTTTCACGTACACATGAAGCTAATATTAGTTATCAATTGGCATACACTCATATAAATAGTCTTTTAAATCATGAAGGTAAAAGTCTATCAGATTTTCCATTGATGGAGCAAACAGTAGTTACTGAACTATTATCTGAAATCAATGATAGTCCTTCACAAGCCCAATTTGCAACTATTGGTAAACGACAATATAACCAATTAAATGAGCAACAGAAAGAAATAGTCGATGTTGTTCTTAATAGAGTAGCTGACAAAAATTATGATGTAAATAATTGTATATACATTAATGGTCCGGGAGGTTCTGGAAAAACTTTTATTTATACAACTATTTACAACTTATTTTCTTCAAAAATATAGAGATAACTTCAATGGCTTTCACAGGAATAGCAGCACTTTTACTTCCAAAGGGAAAAACAGTACATAAAACATTAGTCTTCCAGTTCCCATTCATAATGATTCATCATCAAATATCACAGTACAATCAAAAGAAGGTCTCTTATTAAAAGATACTAAAGTTTTTATTTGGGATGAAGCACTAATGGCACCGAGATATGCTTTGGAAATTGTCAATAGAACATTACAAAACATAATGAATAATGACTTGCCTTTTGGTGGAAAAATTATAATTTTAGGTGGTAATTTTAGACAGCTTCTTCCAATTAAACGCCATGGAAGGCACACTGAAACACTGAATCTTTCTATTAAATATAGCGAATTATGGAATTAATTTGTCAAATACAATCTTACTACTAACATGAGAGTTTTACCAAATGAGATCGATTTTGCGAGATTTTTATTATTAGTTGGTGATGGAACCCTTAACGATCATGACGACAACATTAACCTACCTAATCATTGCGTTCTAAGTGCAAGTGATAATGTTATTTATATATTCGATAAATTCAAAGAGAAAAAATCTGAAGAAATGAGTAAATGTGCTATTCTGTCAGCTAGAAATGTTGACGTCGATGAATTAAACAAGGAAGTTATGAATCTATTAGACATAAGATCAGAGCGTATTTACATTGCTATTGACAGTACAGACAACTGTAATAACGGTGATTTAGAAGTTCTTTTACTAGAATAGTATTTAATAGAATTTTAATTCTTTGAATCCTTCCAGTTTACCACCATATAAACTACAAATGAGAAAAAATTGTATCGTTATGCTTATTAGAAATATAACCATTTATGAAGGTTTATGTAACGGTACACGTTTAAGAATTTTAGATATTTCCAATCACTTATTGAAATGTAAAGTTTTAACAGGAGATAAATCAAACGATATTATTTTTCTGAATCGTATAACATTTATTTGTACAAATAAATGTTATATCCTTTCACTTTTAAAAGACGTCAGTTCCCAATCAAAATAGCTTTTGCAATGATAATTAATTAAGAGCAAGGTCAGACATTTGATAACATTACGATTGATCTTCGTAGAGATGTTTTTAATCACAGACAATTGTACGTGGCAATGTCTAGAGTCCGATCGTGGGATACACTAAAAATTTATTTTGGAAATCATCAACAAAACAATTTTAAAGCAAAACATTATGTCTACAAAGAATTATTTTTATAGAACACTTCTATTGAAACTATTAAAAAATTAAAATTATTTTACAATATTAAATCTAGATATCGATTTTAATTCAAAGGAATATCTTTTCTATAGCAACTTTAAAAAGGCGCGCGAGAGCGCGCTGAATAGTCTGCTAGTAAGTAGAAAAATGTGGTTTGTTCTTTTTGCGGTTGATCATGTACGGTTTTGAAGTTTAAGTGTAATTTTGACTTTGATTTGATTATAATTAGATTTGATTTGAATGCGATTTTTGTTGTGTCTATAATTCCTTAATCACTTTCATTTCTTTACCTTCCTTCCCCCCCCCCTTCCCGCCTCGATTACTATGAGCGAGTGCGCCTGACTTGCCCACCTTAACCCATTTCTTCCCAAGGCGCCATTTTATAGTCGATTTGTTTTTGACCGAGGAAAACCTCAAAATAATCGAAAATGTATACTAGAAGTCACTTTTCTATTGTAAAATTTCCCGCTCTTTACGAATCTGCAGTCAGAATTAGGATATTTTTCACGGAAAATTACAAAATGGCGTCTTGAATGTTGATGAAAATTTAGTATTACATTAGAATTTTTCTTTCAGAAATTAGTTGCTGAAATTTATAGAATCAGGATGAAAATGTAGATTTACATTGAAAATGTTAGTTCTTTGATAAACCTAGGCATTACGAATTTTCCTGGAACATTTTTCCAAGATGGCGGCCAGCAACATGTTGACAAGCGGGGAAATCTAAAATTTTCTAAATAAAAGCCGATTTAGAGAATGAATATATACTACTTATACTTTCGATGTCGCTGAATACAATGCTAATGTCAATTTCAATTTTACAAAATGGCGGATCCAATATGGCGTCGTTAATACCAAAATTATGAGCACCAGTAGGTGGGTACTCAATTCCTATGTTTTCGATATCGCTGAATACAATGCTAATGTCCGTTTTCAATTTTATAAAATAGCGGATCTAATATGGCGTCGGTAGTACCAAAATCAGGTAATGTTGATAAAATTGCGAATCTAATTACTATATTTTTTTCTGGATTCTTTGTCCCTAATCCTTTGTCTTCTCGAGTATTGTAAAGTGTGTATTTTATAACGGTCTTTTTCAAGATAGTTAGAGCATATTCATATTTTCTTCGGCTGCCTCTCTAATAGTCCTTTTCAGGATAATTGGCGAA